GGATGATGCTGAAGTCCTACAGGGCACAGGGCAGCTCCCATAATAGACAATAACCCAGCCCCAGGAGTCCTGGTGTGGCGCTGTGGGTTAATGCGTTGGACTGCAAGGTTGGTTTGAATCACAAGGTCGGCGGTTCAAGCTCACCAGCCACTCCTTGAAAACCCTGTATAGGGTCGCTATGAGTCAGAACCAACTCGAAGACACTTAACAACAACAACAAGATGTCAATAGTGCCAAGTCCAGGAGAATCCCCAAGGTAATCAGAAACTTCTGACCTTTCTCTTTTAGGGTGCCCTTAAGTTCCAACATGAAACCAGGCGACTTAACATAGAATCTTCTCCCCTGGCTTGGAAACATTTTGCAGTTTCTGATTTGGTTAGTCAACATCCACTTAAATACTTACTGAGTCTGGCGGTGAACAACACATAGTTCCTGCCTACAAGGAGCTTAATACCAGGGGACAGTGGTCACTCCCCAGCCCCCAGGTACACTCACAGAAGTGTCCTCTTGTCAGACATTGAATTGTGGTCCCTCACCCTCACCTCAAAGATAATGTGTCAGCTGGGCTGAGTTATAATTCTCAGTGATTTGGCAGTTACGTGAATTGCTGTGATCAACCAAGCAGAGGATTCAGGGTGGAATGTTGTTGTTAAGTGCTGTTGAATCAGTTCTGACCCCTAGCGACCTTGTGTAGGGTTTCCAAAGAGCGGTTGGAGAGGTTCAAACCGCTGACCTTGAGGTTCAAACTGACTTTGCAGTGCAGCGCATTAACCCACAGCGCCACCTCAGGATTCTCATAAACCCATCACAACCCTGATCTGATGTCAGGGAGTTTCCCCAGGGCTGTGGCCTGCAACCCCTTTTCTCTAATAAGAGTTGAAAGGAGAAAGAAATGAACAGAGACAGAGAGACCTGTTACCACCAAGAAAGAAGAGCTGGGAATGGAGTGTGTGCTTTGCACCTGGGGTCCCTGCATGTGAAGATCTTGGATCCAGGGGAAGGCTAAAACCAAGATGCATGCAGATCTCCAAGGAATGCTGGATCTACGGAGGCTGGGAGGAGACAAGAACCTTCCCCCAGAGTCCACAAAGAGAGAAAGGCTTCCCATCTAGCGGGCACTCTGAACTTGGACTTCTGGTCTCCCTAACTTTGAGAAAATAAATTTCTGTTCATTAGAGGCGTCCATGTATGGTTTTTCTATTATAACAGCATTAGAGAATAAAGATACCACGTTTTTGTTTTGTTTTTTTTCATTTTGAGTCATTCCGACCTGGATTCAACTTCTGGCTAGACTGGCCAAAGGCTGTCTGAACCTCAGTTTTCTCCACATGTAAACAGTGTTTGTTGCTGCTGTGACATTTTGCAGGGTCACAGACACAACGCAATGATTAGCACATAATCAGAACTCTATGGCTTCTGTGACTGTTCTTGCATCTACGAAGAGCTTTGCAACTGAAGAGAAAAAAAGCAAACAAACATCTAAACCTCTAGCTTCGTGGACGTGGACACGATTACTTACGACCCGTGACCGAACGATTTATTTGTGTCTCCATCTTGCCAGCGAACCCGAGGCTCCAGCTGAAATTCTCTTTTGCAGCTCAATCGGAAGGAAGCAGCCTGGGGCTAGCAGGCCCCAAGCAGTGGCTTGTCCACATTCACAATGAACTGAGTTGGTGGTCTTACCCTGCTAAAATGGTACCGATGGCTGTGACAAACCACTCGACTGAGTTAAACCCCAGGATACCAACTCCGTTGAAACGTTCCAAGCCCAGCTGGGAAGACAAAAGCAAACGGAAAACATAAACATGGAGGTTTTTGGTTGTTATTTTGTGTTTACTTCGGGTTGTATTCTGACCATCGGTGGTGGTGGGGGTTTTTTACCACCGAGTTGGTTGCGACTCATAGCAACCCTGTATAGGTAGGGTTTCCGAGGCTGCTAATCTTTACGGAACAAAAGCCTCATCTTTTTCCCGTCGAGTGACTGGTAGATTAAAAGTGCTGACCTTTCGGTTAGAAGCCCAGCTGAGAATCCACTATGCTAGTAAGGCTCCTTACTCTGATGGTTGAGACAGGCGAAGTCAGGTTCAAAAGCACACACAGCCACTTGGGGAGTGAAAGGCAGTGTTGAACTTAAAGTCAGGGGTGTGAGAATTTCATGAAGATAGAAAGTTTGTTACTTTCATCTTTCTACCTGTGCTAATCACAGTGGAGCTGATTCCAACCCTGTGTGGCGGAATAGAAGTGCTTCATACCATTTTCCTGGCTTTCATCACCAGGTCTTTTTTCCAAGGGGCTGCTGGGTGGGCTGAAACTACAAATCTGGTTACCCTTTGCATCTTTTGATGCCTTATGGATTTTGTACCCTAGTTTTATATTACGCATAGGGTCACCATGAGTCAGAATTTTTGTACCATATGTATGTAAGCTCTGGTAGCGTAGTGGTTACGAATTGGACTGTGAACCACAAGGTCAGCAGTTTGAAACTACCAGCTGTTCCGCGGGAGAAAGATGAGGCTTTCTGCTCCGGTAAAGATTTATAGCCTCAGAAACCCTGTACAGTGTCGCTATGCGTCAAAGCTGACTCCACGGCACATAAAAACAACAATAACAACATGTATGTAAGCACTGGACTGCTATATGCAAGGTCAGTGGTTCAAACCTACCAACCACTCTTTGGAAACCCTATACTGGGTTGCTATGTTTGTATTGCACATGGGATAACCTAGAGTCAGAATTGACTTGATGGCTCTGGTTAAGGACTCGATGTGGTGCAAACAGTAGGCACTTGACCACTCACCTAAAGGCTGGCCATTCGAATTCCCTCAGAGGTACCAAGAAAGGTCTGGACATCTGCTTCTGTAAATATTACAGCCAAGAAAACACTATGGGGCAGGGACAGTTGTGCCCTGAAGCACACAGGGTGGCCATGAGACAGAAGCGACATTGATGGCAGCAAACTTAGTTTTGCTTCTTGCTCTGGTCTGCACTGGCTGTTCTAAGTGGACGACTGACCACCCAATGAACTAGGGATGGCTCATTTACCTTCAGCAAGGCTTTTGCAACCTTCCGACAAGCCTCGTAGTACTGGTTGTAATTCAGAAATTCCCATTTGTCATTATTCCTTGTGGCGACAGCTGAGTACATCCCGAAGCGGCTGACTGACTCCCGGAAGTATTCTGGAATGGTCATGGGAGCCTCGTGGCCTGGTCCGTGCTTGGTTAGCCTCAAAAGGACTTCTCCATCATGATGGGTGGTCCACAGCGGGAGAGCTTCTGCAAACAGTCAGCAGGGTGGGGATGGCAGATGTGTTTCATGTATTTAATAATGTGGGGTATGTGTGGAGGGGGTCTTTGGGATCCCAGGGACTGAGTATTAAATTGACCATCAACCACAACAGAAACTATATCCATTGTAGGAGAGTCAGTTCCAACTCATGGCGATCCCATGTGTTACAGAGTGGAAGGCCTGGTGAGTGGCTTTCTTATGGATGTAAATCACCAGGACTTTCTTCCTTGTTACTGCTAAGTGAGTTCAAACCACTGGCCTTTATGTAAGGAGTCGACAAACTGTTTGGTCCTTAATCATACTCTTTTGGTAAAGGCTTAAGGCCAGTGTTGGTTCCTTTAAGCTTTTTTTTTTTTTTTTAATCCCTCTCAACAATGTATTTTGAAAGCTCATGCATACAAAAGCATTGAAAGATTTTATAGTGAAATACCCATTTGCTCCAGCTGCTAACATTTTGTTTGCTTTAATCGCTTATCTGTCCATCCATCCCTCTATTCAAACATCACCTCTCATCTGCTAAATGAAAGGCTGAACGTTGGGCGACTTGCCTCCAGCAGACCTCCTGTAAAGACACTGCCCCGTGAGAGGCTGCCCAATGCATCACCCCAACCAACCGTTTTCTGTGCAACAACGCCACCTCGAGGTCATATTTTCGTTCCTTGATGAGCCCCGAATCGCCTTGAACTCACTCCTGCCTCTGCCACCCCCCATCACGGACAGTCAGCCCTGGAAGTCAGCTTACAACAAACTGATGTTACCCTTAAATCGATTCCGACTCATGGCGACCCCAAGTGTTGCAGGGTAAAACTGGGCTCCGTAGGATTTTCAAGGCTGTGATTGCCAGGCATGTCTTCCAATGCACCTCTGAGCGGGTTTGAGGCCTCAATCTTTCTGCTAGTTGTCCTCGGCTTCACCAGAGACTCACTGCCCTGGTGGCACAGTGGTTAAACGCTCAGCTGCTAACTAAAAGATGGATAGCTGGATGCCACCAGCGGCTCTGTGAGGAGAAAGATCTGAAGGTCTGCTTCCGAAGATTGTTGTTACTTGGTGCCCTCCAGCTACAGCTGAACGCAAACCATTGCTGTGTTTCAGCCCATTGCTGCTGCCACTGTGCCAATCCATCCTGTTGAGGGGCTTCCTCTTTTTCAGTGACCCTCCACTTCACCAAGCATGATGTCCTTCTCCAGGGACTGGTCCCTGCTAATAATGCATCTAAAGTATGTCAGACAAAATCTCACCATCCACGCTTCTAAGGAGTATTCTGGCCCATAAAGATCACACCTTTGGAGACCCTGTGGGGCAGTTCTAATCTGTTGTATAGCATCGCTATGAGTCAGAATGAACTCTACAGCAACTGGCCCAGTTTTTATAGAAGTTTTATGAAAGGACACTTGTGGAAGACAAAGAACAAAGGTGTTTTATGACCAAATTCTTATACAAAAATAGTTACAACAGAATTGTAGCAAGTTACCATTTTCATGAGGGAATGCTGGTTCTTATCTAAATCTCTTGCACAACATACCTTGGGATTTATCCATGTCTACTTCTGGGTCTTCAATTTCCTGCTCTTGAGTCATTGGCATTTTAGCCTTTCCAGATTCACAGTGCACATGCTTCACAGCACTGTAAAGGAAAAAAGAAAAAAAGAAAAAAAAAAAAGCAGGTGTCTTAGCAGGACTGCCAAACAGGCTACACATCCAAAGGCAGCTGCAATCAGCTGGCGATTTTTGCTTAGAATTCTGAGATCAATTAGTCATGCCTGTTCTGGGCCAAGGAGGAGAAGAAAGTGGTTCATGTGCCAGATACTGCGGCAATTGTAACGTCAAGAGAACACCCAAGAAGACCTGGTTGGCCAGCAGTGTGGCAAGGCCTGGGGACTCTTGGGCCCAGAGTCAGTGACATAGCCACAGAGGACTAGAGTGGAGAGTGAAGCGTCCAGCTGATAAGAAGAGAGGGCATATACATAAGAACACCCACACTTGCAGATAATACCCACTTAACCTGGCTTCAATAACTGGATGATCAGAGCTCAACTAGAAGAAGATAGAAGAGGGAAAAAGAGTAATATGATACAATTTGATGAACTTGACCTACACCTATGGATGCAGTAGCTCAAAAGGGGGAACAAATCTTTACAGCAAGGATCATTCCCACCCCCTCCATACACAGAATAGACAGGGATGGGCAACTTGGACATTGGCTACCCAAAATGGGGGGGGGGGAGCTACAAAGGCAAGAAGTGACTGGCTTACAAGCTTTCAAGAGGGAACCTAGATCCAGAGGGCATGGAGGAAGGTAGAATCTCCACTGAGTAGTATCCAATCTGTCTAGGTGGGGTTGATGAAAGGAAATGCAGATAGGTCTCTTGTGATACAATAGTGAATAATTGTTATCAGGACTGCTTGTGAGGGTTGGAAATGTAAAGGTACATGTTTTATAGGAAGGAGGGGAGTAACTAACTTTGCAGTCTAGGAGCGGAGGTCCCTGGAACCATCAAGGGAGAAGAGCAGAGAGCGGGACCCTACCCAGAGAAGCAGTAATGCCTGAGATGGAGGCAGAGATGATGATGTGGAGAGATGGAGCAGATGGGGACTTTAGACCCAGAGAGGGAGAGGGGCAGTGTGCTGATGACCAGGGTGGGCAGGCTTGTAGGGTATACCCTTTGGTTGGTTGATGATGCATGGAGGGGATTGTAACCATGGCAATGAAACGATATATACGATAGGATGAATGTAAAACTAATGTTCTCCCATGTAAACTATCACATAATTCACAATAAAATATTAAAAAAAAAAAAAAAAAAGAGAACACCCATGGTGGAATCTGAAGATGGCAGAACTATGGCCGTCATGAGGGCCTGGTGGTGGCTTTGGCACAAGAGAAGCTTAAGATAGCTGCACCCTTAGCTACCACATATGTTGGCCTGAAGAATTTACGTGGTGGTGTGACCCAGATTCTCATGCTGGAGGTGCCAGAGTTCCTGGTCACTATATCCTTCTCAGAGCCTGGAGGCTCTGCCTCTCTCTTTACAGTCACAATTGGGAAAGGAACCATCAAGAAACACTCCAGTGGATAACTGGTTTCAACACACATTCCTCTCTCTGCTCCCACTGGGTTGAACAATCTTTGACTATAGTCGCAAGAGAACTCTTGGTCAATTGGAATCCATGTTGTTGGGTAAATGTCTATCTTACATGTCCGCCATTGTGCCTACATTGCTCATGTGACCATCCCTGCAGCATTGGGATGGGTAATGATAGGGACTGACAGACATCGATGCTCCAGGACCTCTCTTGTTGTTGTTTAGTGCCGTCCAGTCAGTTCCAGTCCTATTTGGCTCAGATCAACCATCAACACTCATGGAATCAAGAGTCAAGGAATCAAATGACATGTTTCATTAGGCAAATCTGCTGCACAAGACCTCTTTACAGTGTTCAAGAGCAAAGATGTCAGTTTGAGAACTACGGTGCACCTGACCTAAACCCTGATATTTTCAATAACTTCAGATTCATGTGAAAGTTAGACAGTGGGTAAAGAAGACCATAGAAGAATTGATGCATCTGAGTTATGGTATTGGAGGAGAATATTACAAGTACCATGGACTGCCAGAAGAACAAACAAATCTGTGTTGGAAGAAGTAGAACAAGAATGCTCTTTAGAAGGAAGAATGGCCAGACTACATCTCTAATACTTTGGACATATTGACAGGAGAGACCAGTCCCTGGAGAAGGACATCATGCATACTAAAGTGAAGAGTCAGCGAAAAAGAGGAAGACCCCTAACAAGATGCATTGGTATAGTGGTAGCATCAATGGACTCAAGCGTAACAACAATTGTGAGGTTGGCACAGGACCGGACAGTATGTCCTTCTGTTATGCATAAGGTTGTTATGAATTGGTATCTACTCAATGGTCCCTAACAACAATAAGAGAATTCAGGATTACCTGTATGTGAGTACGGGAAAAAGATAGCTTTTATTTTCCAAAATCATGTTTATCTTGTGTCATGTATCTATAACTTAAATAATTAAATAAACAGGAATAATGAATTCCCTAGTAAACTGACTAAGGAGCTCTGGTAGCGTAGTGGTTACAAATCGGGCTGCGAACCTTAAGATCAGAAGTTCGAAACTCCAGCCGCTCCGAGAGAGAAAGATGAGACTTTCTACTCCTGTAAAGATTTACAGCCTCGGAAATCCTGTACAGGGTCGCTATGAGTCAGAACCGACTCCACAGCACACAACAACAACAACAACAAGTAAACTGACTAAAATAATCTTGCTGAATTTTCTCAACACAGAAGATTTTTCATTTCCTAACACTCCTTCCCTTCCTTCAAACTAAGCTTCAAAGCTTTTAACAGACTGGCTTACATCTGCCTGTGGTCACATTTTGAGAATCATAATTTGACCTTAAAGCACGTCATGAATCAAAGTCTTGTCTTTAAATAAATAATTCTAAAATTTAAATAAAATAATTATTTCTCCTGTGGAACAGCTGGTAGTTTCGAACTGCTGACCTAGAGGTTAGCAGCCCAAGTCATAACCATAGAGGCACGTTTATGCATAGCCCACTGGGTGAGAAACTATTTTGAAGTCTCCCAGGGAACAGGAACTCTTAAGAGAGTACGTATTTTTTCTAGTCAGTCCAACTTAAAGGTAGTATAACATGAAAATCCAAAGTGCATAAAAGAAATACTGAGCAAATCTCATGTAAAACATTTCAACATGATGAAGAATACCATAAACAAAAATCAAAAGATAAGAGGGGGAACTTGCTGAAAGCCTCATCTTTCTCCTGCAGAACAGGTGGTAGTTTTGAATTGCTGACCTTGCAGTTCACAGCCCAATTTGTAACCACTATGCTACCAGAGCTCCTTATATACAGTGATGGTTTTATTTCTACTTGGCTGGGAATGGCTCCTCAGTAGTTTAGAACTTGGTTTTGTTGTTGTTGTTAGGTGCCATCGAGAGGATTCAAACTCACAGAATAAAACACTACCTGGTACTGCACCATCCTCACAATCATTGCTACGCTTGAGCCCCCTGCTGCTGCCACTGTGCCCATCCATCTCGTTGAGGATCTTGCCTTTTTTCCCTGACCCTCCCCTTTACCGAGCATCATACCCTTCTGCAGGGATCGGTCCTTCCTGATAATACATCTGAAGTCTTGCCATGCTGGCCTCAAAGGAACATTCTGGGTGTACTTCATTCAACACACATTTGTTTGTTCTTCTAACAAGCCATGGTACTTTCAATATTCTCCTCCAACTCCATAACTCAAAGGCATCAATTTTTCTACGGTCTTCCTTATTCACTGTCCAGCTTTCACATGCATATGAGGTTACTGAAAATACCATGGCTTGGGTCAGGCGCACCTTAGTCCTCAAACTGACATCTTTGCTTTTTAACACTTTATGGAGGTCTTGTGCAGCAGAGTTGCCTAATACATTGTTTGATTTACTGACTGTTGCTTACATGAGTGTTAAATGGATCTAAGCAAAATGAAGTCTTTGACAACTTCAATCTTTCCTCGGTTTTTGCAATTTAGATGTAGTAATCCCCAATGATTTAATTTAATGATTTGATTTTTAAAAATGCTGATACTTTGTGCGCTGTAGATTTGTTTTTTGGCTTTTGGGGTGTTTTTTTTGGTTTTGTTTTTTTGCGTCCACATTGATATTTTAAAGGATTACATGAAAATACAACCTACCTAGATGACCGAGTGGCTCCTTATATTTTTCACCCCATGCAACATGCAGATGAACTTCAAAAACATTGTGTTCAGTGAAAGAAGCCTGATCTGAAATCTATACAGTGTGTGATCCCATTGATATGAAATGTCCTGATCAGACAAATCTATAGACACAGGAGGTAGGTTAGGGGTCACCTAGGGACTTGAGAAAAGAATGGGGTGTGACTGTTTTATGGGTATGGGTTTTCTTTGGGTGATGAGAATGTCTTGGAATAAGATACACCTGGTGGTTACCCAACATTGTTGTTATGTTCTGTGGAGTCGGTTCTGACTCATAGCGACCCTGTACAGGGTTTCCGAGGCTGTAAATCTTTACAGGAGCAGAAAGCCTCATCTTTCTCCCACGGTAGTTTTGAACTGCTGACCTTGAGGTTATCAGCCTGACTCATAGTCACTACACTACCAGAGCTCCTTAACCAACATTGTTGTTGTTGTTAGGTGCCATCGAGTCGGTACTGATCCATAATGACCTTATGCATAGCATAACGAAACACTACCCAATCCTGGGCCAACTTCACTACTGTTGCCACGCTTGAGTCCATCGATGCTGCCACTTGGCCAACATTGGAAGGTACTAAAAACTGAATTTATGCTATGTAGTTTCACCTCACCCTAATACTGGCCCGTGGCACACTGTACCACTCAGGTTTAGTGCCACCTGTATTCTCAGGCTGATGGAGTTGAATGCCTTTGTGGGTACTCGTGTTGAGGGGGAAAATAAGTCTTTTTGTTGTGTGCAACCAAGTCAACTCCAATTCAGAGAGCCCAGGTGACAAATTAGTACTTCCTTGTAGGGCTTGCTTGGTTATCATATTTACGGAAAC